TCCGTGGCCATGTGACCAGCATGGCTACACGCCAAGGTGCACGGAATGCTATTATAATTATATTTTGCTAGTTCAAAATGTTAAATAACTTTTTAAAAATCTAGTGATTGATTCAAGAATAACTTGATGCTGATTTCTCAGCAGAGTCCTTGGGGCTCTCTGAGCTTGGCTGTTTGTCTGCAGACATTTCATTACCCAACTAGGTAACATCATCAGTGCGAGGGAGTTTGGGGTTTGCTCTCTGTTTATATTCAGTATTTCTCAGTCTCTGCCAAAGCTCCTGTTACACTCAGCCCTTTCTGAATATCAGGTAGCTCTTCAGTTTGTCCATACACTATGTGAAGCTTGCTTCTCTTCCTCTCTTACCCCCTGTTCACTATATCCACTATTTCCTCTTGGTTCTGTGATTTATAATTCCCCCCTCGCATAAATAGGAATGCTGCATTTGAACAAACACCTGCCAGATTTTCTGACCAGTATATTAATTATTTACACTTGAAAGGACAACGGATTGGTCCACAGCCTCAGTTCAGTGCAGCATCATTAGGATAATAGTAAAAAAAATAACAAAAGAAATAAAAGAAGAAACAAGGGAATTGCATAAGATTTGTTGCAAGAGAACGGTCAATCAGCTAACCTGCAGCAAACTGGCCTAGATTTTCTGAATTAAAAAATAAAAAGAGAGAAACACACGAGAGTCCAGTTTGCTGCAGTTTAGGTTGGTGTGCAAAAAGGCCTTCAGTTCTAAACAAGGTGATGGGTATTTGAACTATAAAACTAGGTTATAATTTGGTTCTGTAAGGTCCCAGCCCCTTACTTAAACTTGAGATACCATATCAATCTAATCAGATAACCCAAGCGGAGACTTCTTGATCAAGCAGCACTTTATTTGATCAAATTAAGCAGCTGGGTGGTCAACAATCTGGAACACTGGCAGAGTTACATCCAGAAGTGCCACAGCTTAGAAAGTTGGTAGCTACAGCTTATGTAAAGATGTAATGTAATGTGAAAGATGCAATAAGTGGAATGACTCAGCAGGTGTGTGTATCCGTTTAAGAGTCTGAGTATAAAAGGGAAGTTTTTTTGCTAGAGTCTTCTTCTCTCGTCTGTTTGACTGCTGTAATTGCTGTTTATGGGAGTTTGTTGAATCATCACGTGTATGTATTTTATTTCTAGTGTATATTTGTAGATATAGCGTAATATAAGTCACCATTTAAGACAAAGCACTATTTACTGTATTTACTCCTGAGTTACCTCTGGGCAATAAGACTGTGCATGCTCTGACAGGCTACGGGCCCAGAGTGAGGAGAAACCCAGTGAGAGTTTGACCCAGAATCAGAGGATTAAGGCTTGTGCTTTGTGGTGATTTGTGATGGTTTAAAGAAGCAGGCTACACTGCTTCCATCTGCATAATGGGAGGAGGTTTAGCAGTATTGCTGCTGAATGACACAACTACCTCATTGCAAATAGACAACAGTCTGCTGTAAAAGGGGAAGGTAAAAATTTATGTATCTGGTATTGGGGAAACTTTGGATAACGTGTTATATGTGCCAGAGTTAGACCATAATTTACTAAGTATTTCTATTTTAGATAAAATGGGGTATGAAGTACTGTTTCCAAAGGGTCAATATACCATAAGGAAAGGTGGGAGTATTTGTGCACAGGGTGTTAAACAGGATAATTTGTATGTACTAAAGAAGCAGCAGGAAGGTTGTGCACGAACATCACAAAGACTCCCAAACATGATAACTATATTCATTTATTACACAGAAGGTTAGGACATGCAAGTTTTAAATTGCTGCAGAGAATGACAGATCTAGCTGAGGGACTTAAAATTAAGCAATGCAACAAATATTTGGATTGTGCTATTTGCAAGGAGTCAAAGTCTAGTGTGCGTGCTGTAAGTAAGGAAAGCAGGAAGCAAACTAACAGTTTTGCAGTTAGTGCACACTGATTTAATTGGTCCTATGGCACCCTCTCTTGGAGGAACTAGGCACGTACTAGTCTTAGTAGATGACTACACCAGATTTGGGTTCTGTTACCTATTAAAGAGCAAAACAGAAGTTCTACAACAGTTTAAGCCAGTGATGGCTTAGAGACCGAGTGCCCAAATTGCAACCCAAAACCCACTTATGCATCGTCGGGTGCTGGGTGGGTGTGGCCAATTGGGTGGGTGTGGCCAATTGGGTGGGTATGGCCCATTGGGTGGGCATGGCTGCGGTGGTAACAGCAGACTGGGTGGGACTGAAAAGTTCAATCAATCAATTCCAACTTTGCAAGATCTTTTTTTTCCCGTGAGAAATTGAAATTGACTGACTGATTGAACCTTTTATTTTTGCACGTGGTGGCGGAAGCCTAAAGCGAAAAGGTTTTATAAAACCCAGCTGAGGGCCTAGGACTGGGGCGATGGCGCGCGTGCCCACAGAGAGCACTCTGAGTGCCGCCTCTGGCACCCGTGCCATAGGTTCGCCACCACTGGTTTAAACAGTGGGTGAACTTTGTAGAGAGAAGGTACGGTCACAAAGTATGCCAGCTGCAAACAGACAGGGGAACATAGTTCATGTCTGATGATTTCCAAAGGTGGCTGAGAAATGTAGGCATAAAGCATAGACGTACAAACCCATGCACACCAGCAGAAAATGGAGTGGCTGAACGAAGAAATGGTATATTGCAGACCGTGAAGGACTCACTGTTAGTAGATGCAGGAATGAGTAACATGTACTGAGGAAAAGCCATAAAAACAGCCAACTATTTAGTGAACAGGGTATGGAATGTTGCTATCAATGAAACTCCATATTACAAGTTCATCGGCTCACCTAAGGACATTTGGCAGTTACGCCTGAGTGCATATTCCCAAAGGCACCAGAAGGAAAGGAAAGAAAAAGGCCAGGAAACTTAGGTTTGTGGGATATGAGCCAGGCTCCAAGGAATATAGATTTTCAGATGGAACTAGGAGCGATGTGATATCAAGGTCTGCCAGTTTTGCAGAGCAAAATTATTGGAAGAGGGTGCATGCTAACACTGAAGTGTTCATGCCAGCAAGTCGTGTTAGTTCTCAGGAAGGAGAGGTTACACAAAGCCAAATGAAGGAAGAAGAGGATAGCAGGTCTGAGATAGTAGGGATAGATGAGGATAGACCTGAGTTAAAGAGAGAAGAAACAGAAACTAAGGAAACAGGTGATCCCTGGGAGGTCTGAACGTAGTAATAAAGGTGTACCTCCTGATCGATTCACAGCAAGTGGGGTTACAGCATATAATGTAAGGTATGAACCCTGTGATTATCAAGAAATGTTATCAGTGCCTAAAGTAGAAAAGGATAAGTGGAAGGACACAATAATGAACTGTAGTATAAGGCAGGAATGTATACAGAGCAAAACGGTTCAATTGTTCAATTGTTTTGGTCACCACGATGTAAAAAAGATGTTGAGACTCTAGAAAGAGTACAGAGAAGAGCAGCAAAGATGATTAGGGGACTGGAGGCTAAAGCATATAAGGAACGGTTGCTGGAATTGGGTATGTCTAGCTTAAGAAAGAAAAGGACAAGGGGGGACATGATAGCAGTGTTCCAATATCTCAGGGGCTGCCACAAAGAAGAGGGAGTCAAGCTATTCTCCAAAGCACCTGAAGGCAGGACAAGAAGCAACGGATGGAAACTGATCAAGGAGAGAAGCAACCTAGAACTAAGGAGAAATTTAGAACAATTAATCAGTGGAACAACCTGCCTCCAGAAGCTGTGAATGCGCTAACACTGGAAATTTTTAAGAAGAAACTGGACAGCCATTTGTCCAAAATGGTATAGGGTTTCTTCCCTGAGCAGGTGGTTGGACTAGATGACCTCCAAGGTCCCTTCCAACTTTATCATTATCATCATCATCATCATCATCATCATCGTCGTCGTCGTCGTCGTTGTTGTTGTTGTTGTTGTTGTTCAAGCCGCAGTGGTGGGATTCAGCCAGTTTGCACCACTTCGGGAGAACTGGTAGCTAATTTTTTGTTGCCCAGGCTCAGAATGCATTCCGGATTCGGCATCCACACAGAGAATGAGTCAAAATATACTCAATGGGTTAGTGAGGGGTCATCAGTTGTTTAAGCCTTTAGGTTTTGTGATTGGACTGAAGAATAACAGAATAAAAGATTTGGAAGGGACCTTGGAGGTCTTCTAGTTCAACCCCCTGCTCAGTCAGGAGACTTTATACCTTCCAGACAAATGACTGTCCATTCTCTTCTTAACACCTCCAGTGATGAAGCACCCAGAACCTCTCAGCCAAGCCATCCCACTGATTAATTGTTCTGTCAGGAAATTTCTCCTTGGTTCTAGGTTGGTTCTCTCCTTGATTAGTTTCCATCTGTTGCTTCTTGTTCTGCCTTCAGGTGCTTGGGAGAATAGGTCGACCCCATGTCCTTTCCTAGAGGTGCTGAACTATAATTCCCAGAATTCTCATTCAGAGTGATCAAGGCCATCTGGCCACAAACATAAAGCAAATCAAAGAGGAAGGCAATTTTAGAATTGAACAATTTATTTAGAAAATACCCTCTGCTTTTTTCTGTCAGTATATTGGACTTTGTTCAACGTTGCCCCTGTCAAATAATGTAGAATAGTGAAACATTCTGGGGAAAACAAATCTCATAAGGAATAGAGGTGATGGGATTTGGAGGGTATTGTTGTCAAATGCTATGCATTTTCTCTTTAAAAGAAAACAAAAAGGAAGAATTTTGACTTTGGGACTAATATAACTTTTCTTCAACTTTCTTCTCGTTCCTTGGCTGAACAGAGAGAGGGACAGGAAGATGTTAGGTGAGCATCAGAATCTTTATTTCTATAAGCAGAAAGGCACAAATACAAAGCCCCTTTCTTATAACAACCATGGGTGATCACAACACTTGGCAAAGACTGTAATGTGTCAGAGTAAACACTTTTTGGATTCAAGCTTTGAGTTCAGATTTGAAAAATAGTTTTGCACTAACTGGGTGGTTTCTCTATGCTCTCTAGTATGGCTGGCCTACAGCTCGAAGTGATGTACTTTTCCTGGACAACCTTTCACAGGGGTTGTGTGATGATCTGATATGTCTGTTGGGAGTTCTTTCTTGACGAAAGCAACTGGGACTTCCGCCACATGTTCATGAGACTCATGTGAGGTGCTTGTATGATTGTGTGGATGGACGAAGTTGAGGATAGTAATGTTGTGTTCTGGGGAAATACTGTTTTTTTCAATGTGCTGCTGAATCAAATGGGAGTGAGCGTGTCCCTCCTGGAAAAAAAAAACCACAAAACATGCAAGCACTGATGAGTTTTCTTCGGCCATTGAACCTGAAGCTTATCCTGCTTTGAACTTTCCAACACATTAAAATCCAGCTTGACAAAAGAGAATCAAGAAAACCAACTGGTGTTAATATTTTCAATACAACTTACAATCATTCATTTAGTGACCCTTTGAAAATACAACAGCCCTGAAAAAAGCAACCTATGACCGTTTTTTGCACTTATGACCTTTGTAGCATCCCCATGGTCACATGATCAAAATTCAAATGCTTTGCAGTCAGAATCTATTTATGACGGTTGCCGTGTCCTGGGGTCTTGTGATCCCCTTTTGCAGCCTTCTGATAAGCAAACTCAATGGGGAAGCCGGATTCACTTAACAACCGTGTTACTAATTTAATAACTGCAGTGATTCACTTAACAACTGTGGCAAGAAAGGGTTTATAATGGGGCAAAACTCACAACAATAAAAAATGGTGTTGTGGTATTAAATTGAGGACTTGCTGTAATTGAGGACTTGCTGTAATTTGGCAGTTGGTGAATGTTGGAATAGAAATCAAATGAATAAAATTGAAAAACAGCAATTAGTCTTTCAGTTAACAGAACATAGAATAACAGAGATGGAAGGGACCTTGGAGGCCGTCTTCTTTATGTTATTGTAAGGCATATCACCAAGGCTTAATATATTATAACCACAGTTTGTTGAATAAATAGCATGGCAATTAAGGGGCCAGAGTTCGACTGGGGCGATCTAGATTCAAACTCTTCCTGGCTAGATAAATTTCTGGGTAGCTCTGAGCCAGTTATTTTTTCTCAGCCCAACCTACAATCCAAAGTGTTGAGACTAAAATAATAATCTGAGAGAAAAGAAAGTATATAAATAAAATAATCTAGTGTTTACATATCAGACTTTATAAGATATCAGAGCATCTACTCATGTGAAGGGATGCAAGGGAATCGATAGCTGGAACAGGAAGATAATTTTGAGCTGCTTGGATGGACAGAATGGATAAGAGAAACCAAGAGATAGGTGGACTTCAACTCCCTGGGAGGTGAAATCCACGCATCTTAAAGTTGATGAGGTTGACAAACACTGCTGTGGAGAACGGGGAAAGAAGATGAACAAAATTGCATTTAACGTACATACCTTGACATCAAGGATGACACAGTCCGACTCAAACTTTTCATCTTTAGGTTTTTCCAGGCTAGCATATGACCTGAAAACAGTTGCTCTGCAGAATGCCATATGCTGGAGAAAGGGAGGGAGAGAAGGAAGAACTAAGATATTTCCAGGTGAACCCAAATAAATCCCCCAAATGGTCAAAGGACTGCTATGCAGGGGAAAAGATATAGCTACTACTGAATGAAAGAATCCGGTCAGGTCACAACCCAATTTCTTAAAGTAAATCGGCATCATATTCTTCTTCAGATGTTGGCAGGAGGTTTTGGGGAAGCATTATTTCTGGACGAATTGTGAAGAAATTAAGGTTATGCAGAGGTTAAAGTGTAAGATTTGGGCTGTTGAGAGCCAGATTCAACTCTCAATTGCACACTTATTTGGAAAGTGGTCGGGGTTTGCTAGGATAGATAAGAGAGAGAGAGAGAAATGGCAATTGCCCAGATAGGACTGGAGTTGACCCTCGCACTTACGTCTTCTCCTGCTGTATAAGGATGGCACTGATGATGGTCATCGTGGGCTTCCTGAGCAGTGCAGTTAACCTCCACAATAACAAACTCCACATAGTAAGCTTCAGGCTCATACTAAAATCAAAGCAAGAGACGTTTTAGTTGGGTTGTGGGTAGAAATGGCAAAATTGAAGAGCTGGGAGAAAGAATTTTAGTCCTGTCTGCTGCACATATCCCATGGTCACCTGTGGTCTCCTGTTCCTTTGGCAGAGGGAGAGGTAATTTGTGAGCCCCAGAGCCCTTAAGAAATAAGGATTTCCTGGCTTTTTATATGACTGTTTCATTGCTTCTGTTTTACTTGGTGGCTGTTTCTATGTTTCACTTGGCTGGGTATTGGCCGTAATTATATTTTATAAATAAAACGTCAGTGAATCCTTGTTCACTACAGTCAGAGGCCTGAAACGTAAATTTTAAAAAATCGGCTAGAGCCCCTGGTTCTTGAAAAGTTGCCTCTCCTTTTTTTCTTAGCAGCTGGTTCTTTGCGGGATCTTGGTGCTCGCTGAGCTTGGTTGTTTTCCTGCAGACATTTCACTACCCAAACTAGGTAACGTCATCCGTTCTAGTCGATCATCGGTCTAGCACCGAAGATGTTACCTAGTTTCGTTACTAAAATGTCTGCAAGAAAGCAACGAAGCTCAGAGAGGACGAAGGACCCCTCATTTCAATCCTGAGCAACAAATAGTCTCCTTTGTGGATATCTGGTTCTTTTCCTAGACTTTTTGCAGAGCATAATTCCTCCTGTCTCCTCCTCCTTTCTCTTAGTTATATGAAGTATCAAAACATTAAACTGGAAGAGATCATCAGAATTCCTTTTTAACATCTGCACACTTACTTTGTGCTGCCCTCTTGAAATCTCAAAAATTTCGTAAATGTGGCCGGGAAGTTTTGCATTGTGTTTCTCAAGCACATATTCAACAGTCTACCACGTGAGGGTCATTCGGAGACAACAGAATTGGACATTTAGGACAATCTCGCAGTATATTTTCCACAGAACCTGGAAAGAAAAAGAAATGTCAAGAAGGGCATTTCAAGCAGATGGCAGTCTTAGCTGAGAACTTCTGCAAAAGAGCAGGAGACCCTACACCATTTCAGACAAATGGCTGTCCCATCTCTTCTTAAAAGCTTCCAGTGTTGGAGCACCCACAACTTCTGATTCATTATCCTAACTGTCAGGAAATTTCAGGCAGCAGGTTAAAAAAAAACTTGGATAGCAGGTTAAAGTTACGGCTTTTGCAATGGGAGAGGACAAGTACAGGTAGTCCTTGACTTATGACCACAATTGAGCCCAAAATTTCTGTTGCTAAGCGAAACATTTGTTAAGTGAATATCTCCATTTTACGACCTTTATTGTCGCAGTTGTTAAGTGAATAACTACAGTTCTTAAATTAGTCTGTTGTTAAGTGAATCTGGCTTCCCCCTTAAATCTGAGTCAATAGCCAGGCATCTGAATTACAGCCATTCCTTTAGTGGCATTTAGATACAGCAACACTAAAAAAAGGGACTTAATGACTGGCGATCACTTTTTGCAACCTTCTGACAAGCAGAGTCTGTGGGGAAGCCAGATTCATGCAGCAACCATGTTACTAGCTTAACAACTGCAGTGATTCACTAAACAACTGTCAAGAAAGGTTGTAAAACAGGACAAAATTCCCTTAGCAACTGTCCTGCTTAGCACCAGATTGTTTGGGCTCAATTCTGGGTGTTAGGTTGAGGATTGTAACTATGTCTAGGTAGGCATTCCAAACTGTAGTCAGATACATCGTCCCGATCCATCAAATAGCTTCTTTAATGGGACAGAAAAGAAGAGGGATCACCTGTTGTCCTACTTTCTGTCCCTATTCTGCCACTCCTGAAATGTACCTGAAAGGGTTCAAGCTGGAATAATCAAAGGCCACTCCCTTTTGAAATGTCAGTGTTAACTACCCACAATATCATTTCCAGCGGTTCTATGAAGGTCAATTCCTTTTGATATATGAATATAGAGATACATAAATAATGGATAGATGGGTGTTGATCAAACTCTTTCTCTCTTTCTCTCTCTTTGTTTCTTCCCCTTGCTTTGCCTGTCTTTTTTCTCTCATTTTGCACTTAAATGTTTTGATGTTTTCTAATGTTGAATAGACTTTGAGCCGTAGTTTTTGCTGTTTGATCTGAATAATGATTGTTCTTTTTTTAAATAAATTGAAATTTTTCCATAGCAAGGAAAGAAGGAAGGAAGAAAGGAAGGAAGAAAGGAAGAAAGGAAGGAAGGAAGGAAGGAGGGTGAAATGCTTTATTAAGGTTGTGTAATTGGCCATACCCAAACATCTAATTGATTTGAACTGTCAATTTGATTCAAATCCATCATTTCAATGGATTGAAAACACCATTTTAATTTGTATTGCTAATCAGATTGAGAAAAAAAGGTTTTGTAGATGCAAAATAAACGGTTTGGAAGCATCCAATTCAGTAATCCACTCCATCTCATTAGATTGACTTGAATTGTCTTACAACTGAATTAAAACAATGCGTGCTTCGGATGAAATATCTCAGGATGCTGCTAAGATGCTGCTGAATTTTGAAGAAAGGCTGTGTGTATAACTCACTGTCATAAATAGTTAATAAAAAAGGATAGGAAAAGAGAATAAGCCAATGATCAGCTCAGTGACGCCTTAGTTTCTTGAACCCAGCCAAACTAAGATCCAAGAGGCATGAAGATGAATTACCTGGAGTGGAGTGGCATTTCACAAGAAACTCATCTTTGAAAGTCATAATATTGTAGATTATCTTGACATCACAGTCTGTTTCAACAGCCTGGAAATACAAAAGCACCAAATTAAACAGGTTAAACTTTAACTTAACATAATTTAGCTAACCATTTCAGATTGGTCTTTTAAAACTGGTGCTTCCGGGCAATTTTAGCATTAGTAGGATTTATTTATGTCCATTACAACATATCTCCTGTTTTAACAGATAGGAGATTATTCAAATGAACACTGTGCACTCGTAACTTGGGTAGACTAATTTGTGAGGCAGCCATCATTATGGTAGTTAATGCACTGTGGTGGAATGTTGTCTGAATTCCCAGGAGGGAGGGGTTGCATTCCAGAGGAGCAAGAGACAGCAAAGTTTACATAGTTTGGTTGGGAAGAAGAGGATCAACACAGCTCCTCCCTAAAAGTTCTGAGTGTAAATTTAAGGACACACACAGTTTGCTTTAGTTTGGCATGATTTCTGTCTATAGGTAAGGAACAATAAGGGGAAATTGCTTTGCTGTAACTTAGCAGGTCTTTCTTGGTTTTCAGCCTGACATGCCTACTCCCTTCAAAACCATCTTATTGGTGTCTTTGGAGAAACATTTCCACATGTTGTAATAAGAGAACTTCTACTTGGCCAGTTCAATATTGACAAAAATTGGGCAGTAACCTCTAAACCTGGGATGACCAACCTTGGACATAGCTGGCTGGGGAATTCTGGGAGTTGAAGTCCACAGGTCTTAAAGTTGCTAAGGTTGGATCTCTCCTCTTTTAAACAGAGGAGCCATAAGACACTTTTCATAGATTTCGGGATGGGAAGAGGTCAGCTTTGGACACCACGGGATGAACGTGAAAGAAGAATTGACTTCTTAATTCCTGACTAATTCATTGCTCAGAGTTGAAATGAAATCCAGCTATGAAATGTGAACTCAAAATGAATGCCCATGGAACGTTAGCGACCCCTGAGGTTTCATTAATCCTTTGTACACCAATATATCAGAAATTCAATTTACTCTTAGTGCAGTGGTAAGAAGCCACCTGTCCTCCCACAAAATTTTACATTTTCAACAACCCTCAGACACTTACATGATTATACTGTGGCCTTACAGTACAATTCTCGACAGGAGTGGAATCCAACACGTGACATTCTGTCTCCAGAAGATTTAATTTAAGGTAGATTATCACCGAAAAACCACCCTAAAACAAAAAAATTAGGATGAAAATGATATTTCTCACTGCATTTTTCTGTCTTTGTTGCATCAGCTGTCCTTGGAAATGTTTGAATTGACACCTAAGTTAATGACCTCGTTCAGATGTGCTTCTCAATTATCAACTGCTTCAAAGAAAATACACCCAACAGGAAATTTCAATGCTGCCTTAAGTGAGACACAGTTCCTTTGGATGTTGCAAGGCAGACAAAACTGACATTTCCTGACATGAACATCTGATCTGCTCATTCCAGTTGTAAATACCTGTTGTAAATAACTTCATTGAAAATAGTATTAGCCTAAGTAAAAGGCTCTGCTGTCTTGTTTTCTACAGTATGCAAATTGCCATCCTTGCAAAGCAAAATACACCTCCAGTTCAAGGAGGACTCCTTCACACTGGGACAGTGGAGAAGATAGAACTTCCTCTTTCCTAATAGCTTTTCCAGTCTGGTGCCATCCAGACGTGTTGGACTATCAATATTATTATCAACACCCATCCAGCAATTCAACTGAAATGGAAGCTATGAGATTACAGAACATTGACTAGAAAGAGGCCGTGAATTGCCCAAATTTCAGCAGGAAGGCTACAGAAATTGTCTGGCGTAACATCAGAAAAGACCACCTAGCTGTTATTTACTTAGTAAATGAAACTAGGAAAAGTTTCCTCCCCTTGTACTTACCGAGGGAAGGAGACGGATAATCTTGATTACATTGAGGGCTTGTTTGTATCCATGTAGATTACGCTCGTTGATGTAGCGCACAGCTTGATCTGCCCGGTATTTAGCGCCTTTGCTGTTGCAATTCAAATCCTCCTCCTTCACCATATAGCCATGTGTAGATCCTATAATCTGACCCAGGAGCACGAGAGCTACCAGGGAATTCATGGCTGGGTTCAGAGATAATGTAGCAGGTACTAGTTGGAAGGAAGGAAGACTCCAGAGAACCTAACTTCAGGTGCTCCTTTTTATGGAGTGTTTCTGTTCGCCGTCCCCCACCACCTGCCGTTTGCATTTGCTTACCTGGGAAGATGCAATATTTGCAGAAGGTCCTGCAAACAAGAGGAAACGAAAAATAGATAGGTGGAGACCTCGAGTCAAAGTTTGATTAGATAAGGGAAAAAATGCAGATTGTGCAAAAAGAGAAAACCAACTCTCCAAGTCAGTCAATCAGTCATATTAATCCCAGGATACTGCTGCAGTAAAGGGTATTTTAAGAATACAAAATTATATAACAGCTATGCACAAAGATAGTGTGAGTTATACATATGGAAGACTTTCTGTCAAATCTCAGCTCCATTATTGACCTAACTAATAGAGATTAAGCGCTGTCCTATTGATGTTGATTCTTCTAGGATGATCTATCTGTTCCCAGCCTGGTCCTGGAGGCCATCCAACACAGCAACCGTTACAGTTATAATCAACTCCATCCATTTTGCTGCTGGCCATCCTCTATCCCTTCCATCTTTTTCAGCATTATGGATCCATTTGTTTGTTTCCTTGGCTATTCATAGTATTCTCTAGTGCAGGGGTGTCCAACTTTGGCAACTTTAAGACTTGTGGACTTCAATTAAACTTCAAATAACATTCGAAAAAATTAGGAGGTCAACCCATTTGCACTTGATGTCTAGAAACCACGTAATGGCAAAGATATTGGGCCCCCAAGAGGAGACACATACTTTGATTACTGTAGGGGCACCAGAGGCAGGATCTGCCCAGACCATGGGGAGCCTGACACCCATCCAAACCCTGACTGGCAACCACTGTGCTGGGCCTGGATACAAGAAAGTATCCTTTCAGGGATACAACCAGTGCCACAGGGGGAGGAAGAATATGAAACCTGGATGGAGCAGGCAGTACAGGCTGTTGAAGAATGGAACATATCAGATGCTCAAAAGAAACATGTGGGAGACATGAACTTGTTAGAGAGGTTAGTCTACGTAGATGATATCCTTGTCTTTGGTGAGACTTTTGAAGAACACAAGGAGTGCTTGGAGATGGTTCTGACCAGGCTCCATGAAGAAAAATTGAAACTGTCATTAGAGAAATGCCAATTTTACCAAACATCTGTCACATATCTGGGTCATCTTGTCTTTGCAGAAGGGATATCAACTGATCCCATGAAGTCTGAGGCTGTCACGTCTTGGCCCAGACCCAAAAATGTGGCTCAACTACAATTATTTCTAGGGTTCTGCTCATATTATCAGAGGTTTGTTGAAGGGTTTGCAAAGATAGCCCATCCTCTCAATGATCTGTTGAAGAATGAAGAGGTAGAGGATGTGTCTGGTCATTCAAACCAGGTCCATCAGAATAAGAGACCCAGGATGTCTCGAGAATCCATTGAGGCAGAGTGGACTAAGCAGTGTGAGCAGGCCTTTGACCAACTGAAGAGGAGACTAATGAATGCCCCAACTTGGCCTAGCAGACCCTAACCACCCATATGAATTACATGTTGATGCTAGTCAGGATGGTGTTGTGGGGATACTGTATCAGGAACATGATAAACACCTGAAGCCCATCGTGTACATCAGCAGGGGCCTTACTTCATCCGAAAAGAACTATTCCACCCACAAGCTGGAGTTTAAGTGGCACTTAAGTGGTCAGTAGTAGATAAGTTAAAGGATTACCTATATGGAGTGGAGTTTGAGGTTGACAGACAATAACCACTCACGTACCTGCTCAAAACAGCCAAACTCGATGCCACGGGTCATTGGTGGTTAGCTGCCCTCTCCAGGTTTAGGTTCAGCCTGAGGTGTGAGGAACAGGGATACAGATGGCCTGTCGAAGATACCTCACGGTCCTAAGGCACATGTTGGAGAATGGATCCGATTGACCCCCGATGGTATTCAAGCTCTGTATCAGGGGTTAAACACCAAATTCAAGGAGGAATTGGGGCAGAAGCAGTAGAAGTCACTACCGCAGGTGTTCCTAAGCTGTACTGCAATCCCATTCAAGTTAGAGGGGAGGGTATGCCTGTTTTGACTAAGAAAGACTTGAAAAGGGATCAGGAGGAAGTCATGTGCCCATGGATCTAGTTTGCATCGACTTCCTCTGTCTGGAACCAGATACAAGTGGACAGGGGAATGTGTTGGTTGATCATTTCACTCACTATGCACAAGCCTTTCCAACAAAGGATCAGGATGCCACTGCGGTAGCCAAGGTACTTGTAGAAAAGTTCTTTGTACACTATAGGCTACCTCAGTACATATATTCCGATCAAGGCAGAGATTTTGAAAGCAAGCTTTCAAACAACTGCTGGACATGCTGGATATTTGGAAGTCATACACCACTCCCTTCCACCTACAAGGAGACCCACAGTCTGAGAGGTTCAATTGTACTCTTCTTGACATATAAGGGATGCTGACCACAGAAAAGAAGCAACATTGCACACAACACATTTCTACCATCGTGCACACTTATAATAGCACGAAAAATGATGCTACAGGGTATTCTCCATATCGACTGGTGTTTGGCAGGGAGGCTCGACTGCTAGTAGATATAGCATTTGGCATCTCAATGGATGAAACCCCCTTCAATTATGTGGACAGGTTGAGGAAGAATCTGAAGATGGCATAAGAGACTGCTCTAGAGTTTCAGAGGTTCAAAAACAGAGAAACAGGAGGAATTATGACTTGAATGTGAGAGTTCAAGATTTGCATCCTGATGATTGGATATTATTGAGAAATCTGGGCATTCCTGGGAAGCATAAACTGGTGGACCGATGGAGTTCTCAGCCATACATCGTCAGTGAGAAGCTACATGGATTGCCAGTGTACCGGATTCAACTGGAAAAGAGTTCAGGGCCTCTGAAAGCTTGGCCCAAAATCATCTTTTGCCTCTAAATGAGATAATACAAGCCTCTCAGCCATCTGCTCAAAAGTACTGAACCCTGCCCAACAAGGAGGAGACCAGTGACTCAAGCACAACCTGATTCATCCATGGAAGGAGAAAAGGAGGACAGTGAAGAGGAAGAGGGCTGTGTGAACTGGTTGTGATCATTGGAAAACATTGCAACAGCTCCCCCCACATCAGGCACTGAAATGGGGCCTGAGCAACTCAGGCCAGATGCCCCTGAGTTTGTACCTAGAGCTTGGGAATGGGAAGAAATTCTTAGAGAACCGAAGTGGAAGGCTGACAAGCAGTGTGAGCAGCTGCCAAAACTGGAGAGAATGCCAACAGCTCCAGAGGCTCCTGGGCTGGAGGAACCTGTGGAGAAAGTCTCAATTCTTCCACATGCCTCACAAAATCTAGAAAAAGAGAATGGGCTTCCAGCCCCAGAGACTTTTGGGTATGAGAAGTCTCGGGAGGATGACTCATTTGTTACAGCTGAACCAACCTTACAAAGACCAAAACGTGCAATACATCCCCTTAGAAGACTGACATATGATACTCTGGGCCACAGCACAAAAGAGGCGGTACTCACTGCTAGACTGCTGTCTCCCCAGGATCTGCGGGTCTTCTCTCCTTCTATGCCACCTCTTTGAGGTGGCTTTTGGCCCAGTTAGGATCCCCAAATAGAAAGAAATCAGCCGTAGGATGTGGAGCCCCGTGATCCCTCGGCTCTTGAGCTAACTGCGCAAAACCGGAAGCCTGCTTTATATCATTATTTATATTGTAAGCTGCCTAGAGTTGCTTGATAATCACATGGGTGGTATATAAATTTAATAAATAATAAATATATACATAAATAAATAAGTAAACTCTTTCAGTTAAAGTAAGAAATAAATTACTACTATTCCCTTTTCCCCATTTAAATCCATTTTTTATAATTGCAGACAATCTTAAGAGTAATATACAAATATTCTCACAATCTCCCAAAGTTATTTTGCTTTATTCTGTATTAATGACTCTCTTCTTTAATTATAATTTTCAGCTGTTTTTGGTTCCCTCTAATATTCAACCTTCAAAGTTCCATTTTATCATTTTTTTCCTAATCAACAGCATTTTCCTATGGGAAGGTTTCTTATGCTTTATTTCAAAATATATTTATTTCTATAATTCTAAACAACCAACTGGAAGAATTCTTGTGCAGGAAGTTCTTGACTTGCGGCCACTAAATGAGACATTTGTTAAATGAATTTTGCCCCATTTTATGAACTTCCTTGCCACATTTGTTATGTGAATCACTTCACTTGTTCATTTAGCAACAGGGTTGTTATATGAATCTGGCTTCCCCATTGATCTTGCTTGTCAGAAGGACAGAAAAGATGATTACATGATTCCAGACATTGCAATTGTCATCAATATGAGTCAGTTGCCAAGAGTCTGAATTTTGATCATATGACCATGGGAATGCCGCAGTGATCATAAGTGTAAAAAGCAGTCATAAGTCACTTTTTCAGTACTGTTGTAACTTCGAACAGTCACTGAATAAATTGTTATAAGTCAAGGGCTATATGAAATGAATTTCAAAATATTATGTCAAATTCATCTGTGTCCTTAATAGCAATAGCAATAGCAATAGCACTTAGACTTATATACAGCTTCACAGTGCTTTACAGCCCTCTCTAAGCTGTTTACACAGTCAGCATTTTGCCCCCAACAACCTGGGTCCTTGTTCTACCAACCTCGGAAGGATGGAAGGTTGAGTCAACCTTGAGCCAGTGAGAATTGAACTGCCAAACTGCTGGCAGCTGGGAGTCAGCAGAAGTAGCCTGCAGTACTGCATTCTAACCACTGCACCACCAGGGCTCTTAATCCATTTATAACTTTCCAGAATCAACATTCAAATTATCTTTTTGATGTTTATTCCAAAATATATACTTAAAGTCCTTATGTCAAGTTTTGAAGCACAGTTTTGCTGGTGTGATAAATATTGCTTCTCGGTTTGCCAATGAACTTGGGGGGAGGGGAGAGGTTTGGAATGCAGCTTCAAAGATTAAGAAGCC